ATGTTACCAAACCACATGGAAGGCCATTAATTCAAGTCCATTGTAAATTCCAAGGTCGGCAGAGCATGGCAGGCTGCTGAACAACGACACGGTTACATGCAGGATCCAAGCGTGCCATAGGCTAGAGATCATTACCAAGGTTTCTCCTTCTATACAGGAAGCAGACCACATCCCAAAAGCAGCTACTCAGCTGCTTGTGGTACATCCCACCATGGAGCTGATTGCCAGTCTCATCACGGGGAGTAACTACCACCAGCTGCCCAGCCACTCAACCAGGCCCAGCCAAGTTGACATACAAATTTAAGTACCACAGTTGGCAAATGCATTAAGGAGTGGACAGTAATGGGCAAGGTTCTGTGGGAGAAGCTCTGTGGCAGGACATCTGGGATCACCTCCAAACTTCAGCTGCTGACTGCAGATAGGGCCCATTCACTTCTTTCCCTGGCAGGAAAGCAAGAAGCAGCTGCTATAGCACAAGTCAGAACACTGCATCCAGAAGGGAAAGCTACGCACTGGATTCATGAGAAAAGCGGACACCGCAGGGCCTGTGTTGGCCGGCAAACAGCCAATGAGGCAGGCATAGTAGTAAAGTACACCGATTTGGTGGCTACTGCATAAAATTTTCTGTGTGCTCATGCCCATGCCCAAGGTGTCTGCCCCAAGATCCTAGGCACACATAAGGGAACACAGCCAATATTGGACTGGAAGCTGAACTATAAAGGGCCCCTTTTGTCCAGTGAAGGAGGAAAAAACAACCCTGTATGTTGTCACGGTTAACGGCTTAACACAGCCATTGCCATGTAAAGGTGCGAACCACTATGCTACAATATAAAGGCTACAAAAATTGTTAGGTACAGACATTCGCATGGAGGAAATGCAGGACACACAGGCGTGCATAACTTTGAGGGGTATGGGGTGGGGGGTGTTACTGGGCAGGGAGGCAGGTAGAGGAGGAGACTGGGTTAGGGTGACAGATGGTAAAGGGGACTGAAACTAAATGTACATGAAATAATCAATGTAAAACAAACTCTGCTCTGTAAAAATTAAAAAAAAAAAATTGTTAGATACAGGATACCTGACAAATTGATAGTGACCAAGGTACACACTTTACAGGTCACGATGTGTGCAAATGGGTGGCCAAGAATGAGGTACAATGGCACTACCACCTGCCTTATAACCCCAGGCCACAGGCCTGGTAGAAAGACTGGTGTCTAAAACGAGAGACACACTGTCTCACAGGCAAGGCTTCTCCGGCAGGGTGGACTAAGGTGCTGCCTGAGGCTCTGAGGTTGATAAATATGGCTTCTGCTGGGTCTTTAGCTCCATGTGGCAAACTAGGAACCCTCCAACCAGAATACATGTAACATCGTAGGCTCCAGAAGTATATCTGCCAAGGTTGTTGTCAGAGCAAAGCAGCAGAGTCCTCTGCGTGGTTAAGGACCCGGCACCGGGAAGTGGACTCATCTACTGGCATCTGTTGTGGGTACCCCAACAGGGCAGATTGGTTACTCTGTCCCTCTGGAGGCAGAGGAACCAACCGGCCTAACGTGGGACTCCACCATTCTGCTGCACAGAGGGCCTCAACCGTCACACGTCACCTGGGCTGCGATGATGGCTGCAGCATGAGGATGGAAGTGGTCTCCTTTTCCATCATAAAGCAAAACAGATGACTTTACTCACAACCCTTCAGATGACCGGCCGTGGGCAGCACCCACGGTACACTCAGCCAGGGAAAATGCCTAAGGCAGCCACTGTTTACACCACTCAAGGGGGAGCCACAAGCCTGATCATAATAGAAGGGGAAGAGGTACCCCTTTTGGTACCTACTGAACATCTGTCTTTCCGATCATAGGTTATGTCCTACTCTTTCTTCCCTTCTGGACTGCCAATGTCTTCCTAGAGGGGGATCACAGCTTCTCCACAGTCCACCACCAAAGCAGCTGCTGGGTCTGTGGACTGCTCTTCTTATCAAGCGCTGAAGGCATGCCTTGGAATGTGGTGCCTCTGGCCAGAACTGACTGGGTACCTGTGGGAGACATACAGGGACGTGTCTGAGCCTCTGTGACTAAGTCAGGAATAGCAGAAGATGGGAGGCATGACTTCCCCTTCTCTGGGGCCCAGACTGTCGCAGAAACCCATGTTCTGATAAGAGACCACAACACCTCCCAGTCATGGCCAAGAGGTGTGTACCACCTCAGGAATAGTTTAGGTTGGTTGGTGCCCAAACGGTGCACTGGGAGAACCCACCTGTCTGTTCTGAGCCAAGCAGAACCCTGTGAGTTCCCATTTCTTTCAAAGTCCTCCTCCTCAAAAGCAGGCCGGCTTCTTGTCCCACTGCCAACAGGTGTTAGTGCTCAATGCCAATGACTGGTTGTAGTACAAATAACCCCACGTGACCAGAGATGTGTACATCACTCCTAACGGGACCCAATGGACATGTGGTCACTATCTGTGGCCCTGATTACTGAACAGCTGGATAGGGTGCTGTACCTTGGGGCTGCCCTACACTGCAGGGACCATTAGGGAATCTGTACTAAAACCTTTGAATGACCCCATGGTAAAAGCCAGGTGGACCAAGTGCAGTGTTTTCCATTGATGTGATTATCTTTTAATTGTTTTCTTTCCTTCCCTTGGTTCCATAGAATTCATGGGACAAACTGAAGTTCTGATGAATTTTACTATACAGGCCCTGAACAACAGCAGAGAAAGTCTGAGGCTATTAACTGCTGAAATCACCTAGATGAGAAAAGGAGTCCTCCAGAACTGCACGGCTATACACATCCTAACAGCTGCTCAAGGCAGGACACGTGCTGTAATGAAAACTGAATGCTGTACGTACGTATCAGACTGCCAGCAGAACATTACTGATTTATTAGGCTCCATGAAGAATCAGATAGAGACCGTGGAAAACTTGATGGCTGATCCGCTGTGGCTGCCTAGTTCCTCCCTCCTCTAGCTGGGAACTCCAGAACTCTTGATTGTACTCATGAGGAACCTGTACATAGATCAGGAGGCTGTCTTTGAACAGAGCAGGGGCATACGGCATGGTTCAAAATCAAGAAAGGAGTGTGTCAAGGTTGGATCCTTTCACCATAGGCTCAATCTGTTGCCGAGAAAATAATCTGAGAAACTGGATTGCATGAAGAAGAACGTGGCATCAGGATTGGAGGACTTAATAACAACCTGCGATAGATATGCAGATGACACAACTTTGCTTGCTGAAAGTAAGGATGACTTAAAGCACTTACTGATGAAGATTGAACACTACAGTCTGCAGTATGGATTACACCTCCATATAAAGAAAACAAAAATTCTCACAACTGGTCCAATAAACAGCTTCATGGTGGATGGAGAAAAGAATGAAGTTGTCAAGGATTTCCTATTACTTGGTTCTACATCAACACCAATGGAAGCAGCAGTCAAGACATCAGATGACGTACTGCATTGGGCAAAGCTGCCACAAAAGACCTCTTTCAAGTGATGAAGAGCAAAGATATCTCCTTGAAGACTGAGGTGTGCCTAACCCAAGCCATGGTATTTTCAATCATCTCTTACGCATGTGAGAGCTGGACAATGAATAAGGAAGACCGAAGAAGAGTTGATGCATTTGAGTTGTGGTGTTGGAGAAGAATGCTAAGAGTACCATGGTCTGCTAAAAGGACTAACAAATCTGTCCTGGAAGAAGTGCAGCTGGAATGCTTCTTGGAAGAGAATAACCAGACTTCGTCTCACCTACTTTGGTCGTGTTGTCAGAAGGAACAATTCCCTGGAGAAGGCTATCATGCTCGATAAAGTGGAGGATCAACGAAGAAGGGGAAGGCCCTCAACGAGATCAGACAGACACAGTGGCTGCAACCATGGGCTCAGGTACAGCAAGGATCGTGAGGCTGGCCCAGGACCGGGCAGTGTTTCGTTCTGCTGTGCATAGGGTTGCTATGAGCCAGAGACGACTCGACGGCACTTAACAACTAGCTGGTAAGGGTTTTTGCTAGGTGTGGGCCTTGGGTTTAGGGCTGTTTTACTGTGTTTGTCTATACTGCTGCTATGGCCTGTGTCTGCAACTGCAGCAACGCTGACTATCCCTACCTATATAGCTTTGACAGTCTCTTTGGCTACCTCCATACCTGGAGACAAACTTAAGAGTTACTGGTCCATGCCCAGATAGATGGAAAGAGAAAAAGAGTACTTTCTAAAATAATTATTACAAAGGATGAAGTTCTTTTTCATTGCTGTGGTGTGGCTGACCCTCTAGGATCTACTTAGGGAGTTTGAGTAGTTTCACTACACATGCCTCCCATTTTGCCCTCATTACTAATATTCCCTGCTCTGACACTGGGAAGATGCATGGCCTTTGCTCCAAGAAGCTTTCAACCTACTAAGATGTGTGGCAAAAATTGGGGCTGACTCACCAACATCAGTGCTGCACAGATGCTGCTTCAGTCAAGCCTTCAGATCCTGGACGAACCTGGGTGTGTGAGCGCTATAATCCGTCATCGCCTGTATCAAGTTTGTTCAGCCATATCACATTTTACAGTAGACTAAGTAGGGCTTGTCATATTTTTCTCATACAATCATGGCAAAAATTTCTGCCCTACAGCCAAACAAATTTCTCAAAATGTATCTCTTACTAAATATTTTCCTCCTGAACTTGGGATAAATCGGATCCTAAATGTGTGTACTAGTTCCAACTCATGGTTCTTAATTCTTCATCGACCTTAAACACCTATAACCACTGAAGTAAGGCTGTACTCTTCACCATAAACTTACTTTTTCTCTAACTACCAATACTTAACAAAAGTCCTGCTGTAACGAAGCACAGAAAACAAAGGGGTCCACGGTAAGCGGAGGACTGGAGGTAGGAGCAATGCATTTAGACTCAGGCCAACTACGCTGGGCCCATATGAGGCCCGTGACTCGGCATTTCTCACAACCTCCCAGGTGAAGCTGACGCTGCTGGCTGCGACTACACTTTTGCTCAGCGAGGATTTACATGACTTTACCTGTTAATGCACCAAGAGACGAAGTACAGCCCACAGCCGTGCAGAAAAAGTGCAGTCCAGGATGGCGCGGGCGGGGTGTTGCGGGGTTCTTGGACGAGGCAGAGGCGGCAGGAAAGCGGGGGCGGCGGCGGGAGGCCCCGGCACAGCGCGGCTACTGGAAGTCGCGCGGCTCTGGAGCAGCCCAGGGAGGGCGGAGAGGCCAGGGCTGCGCGGGAGAGCGGGAGCGGCGCCTTTAGACCACGGACAGGAGTACTGAACCAGGAAAAAAGCCAACACACACAACATCCACGTCTACTGCTGCAGGAGCGCGACTGTACCCAGCTGTCGGCCAGGGACGAGCACTTCCGCTTCCGCTTTCTCGGGCGCTAAGTGTCGGAGGGGAGTGTCGAAGGGGCGGGATTCTGCGCCCAGACCCAGAGCGCTCCACCTAGTGACCTTGGGGTTGAGTGTCTTCCCTTGGACTCGGGATCTGTCCACTGCTGTCTATTTGCTCTAAAAGAAAAAGCATACGTTTTCTTAAATGCCTATGTAAGCTTAAAGGCGGATTTCAGTAAGCAAAGATTTCTAATACACTTGGGAGCAGAGAAACTTGGTTTTTGCATATTTGGTCAATTGAAAAAATTTCACCACAAGCTTTAGAGAAATACTTTGTTTGTTCCTCATAGGTATTTGCCCATCTTTACAGTCCCGGGAGTCTAAAGTGTTGGCTTCTGTTTTGTACTTTGTCTTCTCTTGCATATCACGTATCTTTACTCCG